AATAATATAAATTATTTATCATAAATTTAAGGTATAATTTATATATTTAAACATAATATTTATTTATATACATAATTTATTATAAATTTTGATTATAATTAATGAATATTTAGTCTCTATACTATACATATTAAAATATTAATTCATTATTGAATAATTGTATAATTTTTTTTTTGTGAATTTGTATAAAAAAAATACTTTAATCTATAATTCATTTTTTTTTCAAAAACTAAACAAAAGATGGACATACCAATCTGTCAGAGAACATCTAGTAATTATGCTAAATTATATTAAAATTCTATGTGGAAATCTTCTAATCCAGAATAATAAATATAGATAGATACTTATGATTCTTCTTGTTTTTTCCTCTTTGGGTTTCATGCCCCCATGAATTTGTCAAATGCCACCATGGGGTGCAATTTGGAGGGCACCCACTCCCCTCTAAGGGCAAAAAGGGTTAAATTATGACTATTCTATATGAAAAAGTCAATTTAGACTCATTGAGATCGAAAAATTGGTGCACTAAAAAAATGTGTATCTTCATCAGTTCATCTAACAATTCAGATTAAATCACATCTAATTTGTATTGTATATACATAAAGTATTGGTGTTTTGCATTTGACTACATCAATTACATACATAATGTATTGGTATTATCAACCATAGTCGTTAGAGAGTTATAATCATGTGAGGCATCATTTAAAAAACATATTATATTTTCTCGTTGGTTTAAAAAATCTTTAATTCAAGTGGTATGCTTGAAATTATATGTCTTCAATAGGCTAATGCGATTGTACAAGTAACATTAGAATTGGTTTAATGGGAGATCAAATTAGGATGCACGTGATGTTAAATTTAAAATTAGTATTGTCATTAAAAATTTGATAAATAAACAAATTGTTTAATACGGTTTTATTTTTCGTGATTAATCCAAATTTAAACTCTTGCAACAAAGTTATGAGACATTTGGCTTATGAGTGATGAATGTGATGGAATTTTGTGTGTCCGAGTCCCTTTTATTCCATGAATTATGTTGCGTGGGTCACTTCCATTATCACCTCCAACAATATCATAAAGAGTGGGTCCAATCAACATTGATTGAAAACGTGTGGCTATTATGAATGTGTTTGACGCTTTTTTTTTTCTTTCATCCTTCTGACCACATTACATAAGAAAAGTGAAAAAACACTGTCACAATATTTTTAGTTTTTTAAATACTTTTTTTTTATCATCATTGACTTACATATTAGGTTAAGTTGTGATGGATTGACTCGGTTTAATTTATACATAAACGTTATTTTAGATTATGATAATTTAGTTTATATTTTTTTTTTTGCTGTTTGACATAATTTATTTTAGGTTAATACCTTAATTTGGTCCCTTATAATATTTTTTTTGTTTCAATTTAATCTTACTTTAATTTTTTGTTTCAATTTGGTCCTTAATAATTTAAATTAGTGCAATGTCGGACTTCCGTCCAAATTATTTAAACGGAGTTAACTGTTGGTCACGTGGATATCACGTAGATGCATAGGAGGATGTCAAATTTCTTTAATGCATCTGGAACTAGAACGACCCGTTCTGAAATCAGAACGGGCCGTTCTAGTTGCACTCTTGGTGTGTTAATTTTGCACCTAGAACAGGTCGTTCCAGATGCAACATTAACACACCAAGAGTGCAACAAGAACGGCCCGTTCTGGTTCCATAATGTCAAACACAAACGATCGATGATTATAGTTCACGCCTGTGATTCTAAATCACGGTTGTGAATCGTGTAAGGAAAAAGATCCAAGGTACAAAGCATTTCAAATACTGGATTTGATAATATTGTCAATGGAGATTGATAACTTCAATTGCTAAACATTTGGGCTATATAGTGTATCATTAAGGACAATGCAGTGTATCTCTAAAGACAATGGTAGCAGGTTTTATTTCATTATTACTCAAACTGGAGTGAATCACTTACTACCAAATTGACAATATACAATAAAGGATGAGACGACATGGTATTTTCCCTTGAAGTCATTGACCGATGTACCCCAACAACAATAACTTGTTCTTGAGGAGGTACAACCTGAACTGGAGGAAGAGGACACACAGGACCAACATTTCACCACACAACACATGTATAGGTAGATAATGTTAATATCCTATCAGTCATTCAGTGTTATATGGTGGATAAGATGTATTATTGGCACCTTCAGTGTTATCTAGATGATTTTCCTTCTCAGTAATTTCTTTGAACTTTCTTAGTATATCTTATGTTATGAATTTTTGTTTTCAATCTCTGAACCATATTTCTGTCTTTGAATTTATGTTATGTTATGAATTTTTATTTTCAATTTTTGAACCACATTGCGGCATTTTGTTGAGCGTGACTTGGTCTTCATCTTCTTCAACAAACAAAACAAAAATGATGGGTTATGAGATAAAGTTATCAAGGGTACAACCACAGTAGCGAAACCCTCATAATAACTAACCATAACTCTAAGTTTGTAACCACAACTTTGTAAACCCTAAAAGATTTTTACTATTATGATATTTATTTTATTCTATCATTTAATAATACATTACAAATTTATATATAGACGATAATTTAAATTATTTCACATATTAATTTAATGGGTCTACCCATAAGTTTGGGAGCTAGCTCAACTTAGACCCATTTGGCCTATCAAACTTAGTGGATTGGGCTAAAATGGTTTGATTCTAGTTAAGTTATCTTTTTTAAGCTCCAATTTGATCTTTTGTGGACTGACTGAGTTAGCCCATCAAGTTAGACCCAAATAAACAATTATAATTATAGTATTTTCCTTAATATAAATTTTTAATTAGTAAAATAAAATTTATTCACAATAATAAAAATAAATGTTAAAAATAAAGTTAATCGAAAGAAAAAATTAATACCCCATATGAAAAATGAAATAAGTATATAATAAGTTTTTAACATGAGTAGAATAAGATTGAATTTCCTTAAATAAGGTATCAAATTTGAGTTTTATAAATTAAAAATATGATTAAAAAATAAAATGTATTAAAAATGAAAAATGAAATTTTTTAATAAAATTGACAAATATTTCACACTAAAAATATAATTAAAAAATAATAATACAAGTTGAGCCACGGACCACGGTCAAGCAAGAAATTTGCACAACTATAGTGTTCTTCATGACTTCTTCCAGTTACATGTTTTGTTCAATTTATTTATAAAAAATAGGACTTTGAAAGACTTTTATTTAAGTAATGTAATGATTCATCATGGCCTTTACACCCTATGAATCATGTAACTATACTAGTCGATCAGGATAACCATTGACTGAATAATAATGCATATATAGATATACGAGTAAAAATAAAACTCTTGTTTATATA